TTGTTGCACTGGATTATAATAGTTAAATTAGGCATCTTAACCTGCAGTTTGTTAAGGAGCATTCTTGTAAACATAGCTTCCTTAGCAACTTAGGACAGTGCAAGTAATTCTGCTTCTGTTGTTAATGTTGTAACTGTATCTTGTTTATTTGCTTACTATGCAATCTATCTGCTAAATAGTTAAATAACATAGCCTTAAGAGCTCTTTTTATCTAGTGTATTATCTACAAATAACGCATTGCTTGCTACTACAAGGTAGTCTTCTCCTCCTAATTAGAGTGCGTACGTCCGTGTCGCATGTAGGTACAGGATGACTCGATCAGCTGCATCCTAATAGTCAGATGCGGGATTCATAAGAAACTGTGCAAGGCGTGATGTAGCAAAGGCAATGTCTAGTCTTATAGTAACTGCTGCAAAGAGCAGAGATCTAATTTTCTGCTAATATTAATTTACTTCTAATAGGGTTGCAAAACTAGATTGCGGCATAAGTTTAATCCCACTTATAGGTGTAGCGTGCTGCAGGTCCTTTCTGTTAGCTAGCCTAGCTATCTTGTTAATATATAAGGCCTGTAACAGCTAAATTATTTATTACTATTAATCTTTAATAATCTTAACTCCTAAGAACTATTATAAGTCCTTGCCTTCTGTTAGGGTATACTTCTCTTGTAACTAGTCTACTACACGCTGTGCATCTGCTTTAGAGCCTTTTTTGTACGCAACAATAAGGTTATCTACATAAAAAAAGACAAATATTCTAGCTTTAGTTATACAGCAGAGTTTATGTAAGACAGCTAAGAACCTAAGGCCTTTAAAAGTTGTTATAAAATAGTGTTGCTAGAGTAAAGAAGAAATTTACAGGCTGTATAGTGCTTTTTAAAGCTTTAGTATTATACCTAGTTTCTAATAGCCTCTTAGCATCTGCATGTAGATATTGCAGTTAATTGCTGCATGTACAAACATGTTAGTTATATTGTATTATTTAAGCTTTAAGTTAAAGTGTGCAGATATTGCTATTAGCATTTAAAATAAGCGTCCTGCTAGGGTGGCAGCGTAGGTATCTTATGTAGTAATGTTTTTTTATTAATTACTATAGACTACTAGTTGCGCCTTACATCTTTGTAATCTATAGTGCTTATTAAGCTTATAAGTGTACACCTACATATAATCTAAAATCTGCTGTCTAGCTGCCTTAATTAGCTTTGTCTAGACCTCTGTTTAGGATTTTATTATCTAATAACTGTCTAGGTGCGTTCTTTCTACTGCCTTAAACATTTTATATAGAGAGTGCTTTTCTAGTTACTTTTAGGTTAATAGTAGAGGTAGCAGCTAGCTTTTATAAAGTGTCTTTTTTTTAAATAGCATTCTTATTAATGCTGCTTTATTTAGTGTTTTACTGCTATACTTTCTTACACTTCTAAATCTTATGCTAGCTATAAAGGCTGTAGCTTATAGTATAGTCTTTAATAACTCTATTTAGCTTAGCTTTAGTGCTGCTCTAGCTATTAACTACATAAGCAATGCTGCAGGTAGTAGAGTGTTTAAAGAAGATAGATAGTTATCTCTAATTTTCCTTCTTTAATAGTAGCCTAGTAGGTCTACTTTATTAAAATTTAATGTATTATTTACAGTATTATCTTTATAAAATAACTCTGTTTTTAGCTAATAACTAAGTGTTAGAAGCTTAATTATTTTAATATATATAGTAATTTTTTTTACTATATTATACATAAGGTTATCTATTAAGTCTTTAGGCTTACTACTAAAGATTAAGTGTTTATTAAAAATAACATTATGTGTATAGATTACTTTTGCTAGCAGTAGTATTTATACATAGTAGATGTTTAATAATTAGTACTTAACTAGATATCTAATCTACGCCTTTAGGTCTAGCTTTTATAGCCTAGATTTATTCTAATACATGTTATTAGTTATTATAAATACTTTATAGCTATAAGCTTTTAAATGTGTAAAGCTTAGCTTTTAAATTAATATAATAACTCTATTATTTAAAGCTACTTATATAAAGAAGATCTTATATAGTGTCTTTTAGTTGTTAGCATAGTTTAGCGTCTAATTATATAAATATACGCTAGCTCTAGTAATGTATAGCTATATGTTCTATAGTAGGTTAGCATCTAGTTGCATAGCCTGTAACTTCTCTTTATTTACACCCTCTAAGCGTTTAGCTTCTCTGTTCTAGGCTTGTGTATCTAGTGCTAAAGGCTTAACAGTTATTTTATATAATACTAGCTAGCATTTTACCTTTAGTTTTACTGTTATAATCTTATTATTAGCTTTAATAACTTTTATAGTAATATTATAATAGTTCTTTAAAAAGAGGATAAAAATTATAAGAGCTTTAATAATTAATTTAGTAAGCTTATTATCTTTAAAGTAAAGGTCCTACTAAAGGCTAGAATACTTGTTAGTAATTAGTATTTAACTTTGCTTTTTTATAATGCTTTATGCTTTATATGCATAAAAATTAATTAATAGTCTCTTACTAGGTCTACTATTACTAATTTATAGTGCGCAGCTAATTTGTTGTTATATCTTAGCTCTACTACATAAGTTATATTAGACTATTATAATTCTTTTAATTTACACCCCCTTAGCTTACTATATAAGGTGTTAAAGTGTAGCTAGTCTAGGGTGTTATAGACGCTTATGCTATAGCTCTGCTAATGCCTTTTATAGACTATGTTTAGTTTTTATGTTAATTATATGTGTATAATATAAGCCCTTCTATAGTAGATAGTACTCTAACACCTATTAGCTATAGATCTCTATAAGATCTCTAATTATTATCCTATCTAAGGCCTTTAAAGTAGTTAGCTCTGCTTGTGTGTCCTACTAGATTCCTTTCTGTTGCAGTAGGCAAAACAAGACTAGGTTGCACAGCAGGTCTAGGCACAGTGCAGTGTTATAAAGTACAAGACTATATGCTTAACTATGTGTTCTATGCTTACTTTTTAAGCTTAGTGTAATTAATCTATAGCCTTAAATCTATATGTAAAAGTTTCTAGACTAGATAAAGTCTTCTAGTGTTAGTAGATAATAGTTGTAGATCTAATTAAAATTATTTATAATATAGCATGTTAAGCTTAAGTTAAGGATAAATAATTCTTTTAGCAGATATCTGTTCTAGTTTAAATTAACTATAGCTAGTAATGTAGCTACCTTAACTCTTAATACTTTCTAGCCTTTAAGTTAGTCTTCTTGTATCTCTAGTATAAGTGTATGTAAACTTTTTAGAATTAGTATTTTTAAATTATGTCTACGCTGCCCTTTTAGTAAGCCTTAAAATTCTAAGTTGTGCTTACGCTTTAATGCTATAAGCTCTTTAACTCTCTTATTTAGCATCTACTAGTCTAGTGCTCTGTCTAGATAGACATAGAAGCAGTCCTTTAGTGCATAGATGTGTCCGCATGTAGGACATTTAGTGCCTCCTGTTTTAGCAGGTTTCTAGCTTAAAAATAACTTCCTATTATCTTTTTAATAACATTAATGTTAAAGTCTACTCTGTTTTCTTAACATTACAACTTCTGCACTACAGGCGTCCTTATTTATGCCCTAGGTGGTTTTCCTACTTTTAGTAAGGTATAACAAGTTATCTGTTATAAAGGCAGCTTTATGCTTTTTTGTATGTATTAGATAATTTAATATTATATGTTTTTAAAAGCGCTTTATTATTTCTTTTTAATTTATGTCTAGTGTAAACTGTCTGCTTTCCTAAAAGGTTGTAGACTAATAAGGGGCAACTTTATTTATAGTAGTTAGAAAGTCCTTTGCTACAGCATTAAACTGCGTTGTTTCTAGAACATTTTATGTCTCCGCTTCTGTGGCAGCGTAGTCATACTCTGCTAGCCACAGGTCCCATATGCTCGCGTTTCTTAGCAGCTTTAGGGATGCATTATATTAGTTACGCGCACGTTCTTGTTTAAATTAGTTATTAACGCCTACTGTAGCTTTAAGGTTTGTAATCTACTGTCTAAGTAGTTAATCTAGGGAACAGCATGTACACTGCAGATGCGGGCTAACTGTTAACTAGATAAAGACAATAATCTGTTAGAGGCTTAATTGCTCTCTTTTATAATTATGTCTGTCACTCTTGTACTTGTCAGCCTTAATCTTGTAGTATTCAATGGCTTCTTTAAAGGCTCTGACACCGCTCGTCGATAGCTCGTTCAGGTGCGTAGGCGTTTCGACGTTGGAGGCTGGTGAAAACTCAGCTATTAGCGGCATCTCTGGAGCTCTTGGTTTGGAGATCATTTGGATGGTCAACTTAG